TTGCTGAGGGTTTTGCTTCGGCTTCAACAGATTCTTCACCTTCTCCATCTCTTCAATTAGTAGTAGTAAGTTGTTGAGTTTTGAATTTAACCAGTTTGAAATTTTTTATTTTTTATTTATTTTTATTTTATTTCCCTTCGAATCGATTCTCTACTGATTACGTCTTGGGTTTGGGTTTGGTGGCGAGCAAATTTGAGATGGCAGGGATCGGCGTGGAAACGACGCAGGTAGCTGCTCTTGTGCTAAATTACAAACAACTACCTCAACTTCGCCAAATTAGGGAGGATAGGATTCTTCCGTAGGATCAGTAGATCGCATTCCAAATTTCCTTTTTTAGGGTTGTTTTGCATGCATACCCCCAAATCATTTGCGGATTATCTTTCAAATTTGTATGTTTGTTAGGCTATAGCAGCTACCGATATGAGATTATTTCGAGATGTCGAACAGGATTTACTCCAACAAAACATAAAGGGTTAATTGCACTTAAATGCCCTATAGTTTTCCCAACCTTGCACTTAAATACCCTATAATGTATATGATTACGCGGTAGTTAAAAATACCCAGACAATGTTATCTTTTCTCTAAGTCACATAATAGAGGGTACTAAAGTAAAACTCTTCGATACTTTGGGGTCTTTAAGTGATGGCATTTATAAACTTTGGATCATTTCTATGCAACATTGGATCAACAAGAGTGCAATATTTTAAAAGTTTGACCCATTTATCTGTAAATCTTAAATACTTTTGAGGCATTTTTTTTTTGTTGTGTTTGAAAAAAGAGGTCACTTAAATGGAAAGGTCGAGTAACTGCAGGGCATTTAGTGCAATTAAGCCTTACATAAAATCTAAATTTAGTTCACCTATATTTTGTTCGCTTCATGATTATGACGTCACAATATACATTTAGAATAATGCTGAAGGGATAACTGCCTAGCTATTCATGTCTCCTAATAGTCTGTACATACCTTATTTTGCACAATTTGTACATACTTTATTTTGCACTGCTTCAAGAATAGACAGAATTAAATGCAGCAACACTCAAAATTTAGCGCAAACTACCAAATTTTTCATGGCATATTTCCCTGAATCCATCAGAACTTGACAATTACAAACATAAGAACTTGAGCACCACATAAAAAACGAGCAACATTCTCAGTTTGAAAGTTGCCAATCAAAAAGGAAGTTCGGCACCTTCTGTTCCATTAATCCAATACTATCATGGCTACTGACAATGATAGTGCTCATCAAACAAAAATCAATCCTTATGTAAATCATACAATTTTTAGTCATTTCTACAGTTGAAAAAAAAAACCCTGGACTACATTGCGAGAACACTTTATTTTACCAAGCATGGGCACTTTAAACTACAATGAAGTACACCGAAAAAATTATGAGTTTTGTACACCCAATGTCCATGTAGTGCAGTTGGATAATGGACGAACTCTCCCTTTCCACAACGGAGTCCATCTCTATGCTAATCATAAAGCCCCTCCTCTTGCCATATATCTACTAGGAAATCGACCATTTCCTGTAGTTTCGTCAAAATGCAATAATAGTAGCGTAAGCGATTAAGAATTTCAATAAGTGTTAGTAAAATTGGTAGAAATGGACAGATTTTGGAATTTATAAGAACTTACAGATAATGGGATTGGTTGTGAGAAAGGCTGATTGGTAGAGAGCAACTCCTCGTATGTTGTGCACCAGCTAGAAGAGAAATACGGATTATAAAAGTTACATTTTTTTTTTGGAAATTATAAGCAGAATTTGAATAATTGCTAAAGAAACTTTCATGCTCAGAATCAGATATAAATGATGATACATGACCATGGACATACACGAGGCATAAACTGTATGTTTTCAGCTCTTCTACAAATATTGTGAAGTGGTGGCCACCTTCATAAAGTTCACGCGAGCAGAAGAAAAAAAAAGAGCATCTCTAAAACGGCCCACCCGAAGAGAGGTTTATAAATACCTCTTCGTTTTTTTTTCTTAGGGCTTTGTGCAAAGGCAGAGGAGAGTGCAACTTTGGCTTCGTGCAGGGAAAATAAAAACGCAGTGCAGCTTTGGCTTCGTGCAGGGAAAATAAAAACGCAGAGGCGTGGTTTTCTGTGCTGTTTTGAAAAAGGGATTGTGCATCCTTTTGAGAGATATTGTGAGGGATTTGAGAGATTGTTTGAGGGTTTAGGTTGTGTGATTGTAAACCATATTTGTATTCTCTCTACTAGTAGATCTCCCTCCTCCTTGCCCCGTGGACGTAAGCAATTTGCCGAATCACGTAAAATTAATTTGTCTCGATGGTTGTGTAATTTATAATAGCTTATTTAGGTTTCCTCGACATGTCAGTTCTAGCACTGATGAGAGGAAGAGCTGATATCCCACTTTGTTGAGATATTTTGCTTTTGGTTCTTGTTTCCTTTATGAAACGATAATTCTTATTGCGATCTAACTCTCTTGTTGTGCTGCCAAGGTGCTGTCGAAATTTCCGCTGCGCGCAACAAGTGGTATCAGAGCTCAGATTTTAGATCTAGGGTTTTGAAATCAGGTGAAGGAAGATTCTTGTGTGAAGCTTAGTTCTTGGAGTTTTAAGCTTCGGTGAAGATAGCATTAGGAGTTACCGTTGGAGATTTCGCTTTCCTCGCGTGGACATGAGATCTATTTGGAATCCGATCTAGGGTTCAGTTGGGTAATTCTTAATTTCTATCAAAATTTGATTCTTTCTCTACAACTTGGAGTTAGTTTACAATGGGAGAAGAAGGTGAAAGCAGCAAGTCGATGACGAGTACAGTTCAAGTTGGTTTTCAAAACATCAAAATTAGTGTGGTGAAGTATGACGGTAAAATCAACTTTGGTTTGTGGATGAGCGACGTACAAGATGCGCTCAATGCTCAGAACTTGGAGGAGACCATCATGGTCCACAAGAGACCACCAAAATATGAAGAGGCGATATGGGAAAAGATGAATAGGAACACTTGTGGGGTAATCAGGTCTTGTTTGGAACAGTAACTGAAGTATGATGTGATTGGGGTGACGTCTGCAATGAAGATGTGGGAAATTTTTAACAATAAGTACCTTATGAAGAGTGTTGAGAACCAATTACATTTGCTACTAGGTTATTCAGATATCAGATGTCCAGAGGCACCTTGCTTGCAGCTCATGTGAATAACTATACGAAGTTGTTGTCGGACTTGGCGAATGTTGATGAGAAGATTTCGGATGAGTATAAGGCTATTATCTTATTGAGCTCCTTATCAGATGAGGAGTATGACACTTTTGTGCTCACTTTGTTGAACGAGAGATCTTCTATCAGCTATAGTAAAGTTAGTAATGCATTGACGAATTATGATTTGAGGAGGAATGACAAGGAGACTTCCTGTGCTAGTACTTCAGGCGAGGCCTTGTCGACGAGAGGTAGAAGCCCATATCCGAAAGGTGGTAATAGAGGGAGGTCAAACTAAAAACCCCGCCACTAATTAGCAAAGAACCAATGTGCATTCTGTAAGGAGCAGAGACATTGGAAAAGAGACTGTCCAAAGCTCAAGGAGAAAGAGAATGGCAAGAAAAATGGCCCGAAAGTCAATGAGGTGAATATTGCGAAAGACGATGATTCCGATAATTCGAGCTTTTCTCTACTGATTACTCCGGAGGTGAACCACTTGGATGCATCAGATTGGATTCTTGATTCCGACGCTACCTATCATGTGACCCCTAGGCGAGATTGGTTTGCATCTTTTGAGAAGCTCGATCGGGGAGTTATAGTCATGGGAAATGATCAGCCCTGTGGCATTTGTGGGATAGGTACTGTGCAGATCCGGATGCACGATGGAGTAGTTCGTGAATTGAAGGAGGTGAGATTTATTCCTTAGCTAAAGAAGAATCTTATCTCAGTTGGAGCTTTGGAGGCAAAGGGATCTAAGATGATCTTTGAAGACGTTGTAGCAAATGTTACTAAGAGATCTTTGGTGGTGATGAAAGAAGTCCGCAGTCGAAACTTGTATTATCTGAAGGGGAGCACCGAAATTAGTCAGGTTGCTTCAGCTATTTCAGAGGCGGACATGAGCAGGCTTTGGCATTATAGGTTGGGGCACACAGAAGAGAAGTTATTGCAGGCTTTGTGTAAGCATGGACTATTGAAAGGAGCTAATAGTGGTAAAGTGGAATTCTGTGAGCACTGTGTTCTTGGTAAGAAAATGAAGGTGAAGTTCAGGACAGCCATTCATAGTATGAAGGGCATCTTGGACTACGTGCACACAGATGTTTGGGGTCCCACCAAGACGGCATCACTTGGTGATCGACATTGGTTCGTCACGTTCGTTGTTGACTATTCTAGGCGATGTTGGGTGTACACCATGACAAGAAGAGTGAAGTCCTAGATTTGTTTGTGGAGTGGAAGAAGAGATTGGAACTACAGACTGGGAGAAAGATCAAGACGTTGCGATCCGATAACGGTGGTGAATATACTTCAGACCCTTTTCTGCAGCTATGTCGAGACGAGGGCATAGAGAGGCACTTCACGGTTAGTCATACACCGCAACAGAATGGGGTGACAGAGAGGCTGAATCGGTCTTTACTGGAGAAGGTCCGATGCTTATTGTCGTAAAGTGGTTTGGAGAAGATCTTTTGGACTGAGACACTATCATATGCGAGCCACCTCATTAATAAGCTGCATTCATCTACGATTGAGGGAAAAACCCCTATGGAGAAGTGATCGGGAGAGTCAACACACGACTATGACCAACTCAAGGTATTCGGGTGCCCTGCATTTTATCATGTGAGAACAGTTGAATTGGAACCTCGAGGTAGGAATACCATATTTATAGGATTCAAGCGTAGTGTCAAGGGATACAAGCTATGGGATCCAGTTGATAGAAAGATTGTGCTGAGTAGGGACTTCACATTCGATGAAGTTTCTATCTTAAAGCTTCCCAGCTCTCATCAGGTGGAGAGCGACCCGACAGATGAGATATCACAGGTAGTGGAAATCGATGCAGCTCCACAGTATCCAGATGGTACAGTATCCATTAGAGTGCCAACTGAGGTGACGCCAGGCGAACACGACGGTGACACGGAGGATACGGGTACTGATGTGCAGGATCAGGGACCGACGGCTCAGATTCAGGATTCTATTACGGTTCAGAGATAGATGAGAGATATACGGATGCCAACACGGTATGCCGACACAGTTGCGTATACACTTTCGGTGGAGAGTATCGATGAGATGGTGCCTACTACATTCAGAGAGGCTGAACAGAATTCGAAGACTAATTTGTGGAAGGTAGCTATGTAGGAGGAGATGGAGTCTCTTCATAAGAACGATACATGGGAGCTGGTTGAGCTTCCAAAGGGACGAAAGGCGATTGGTTACAAATGGGTATACACGAAGAATGAGGGCATTGAAAGCATCCCATTGAGGTTCAAAGCTAGATTAGTTGCGAAGGGCTATGCATAGGAGGAATGTATTGACTATAATGAGGTTTTCTCTCCGGTGGTGAAGCACTCTTCGATTCGGAGTTTGCTAGCTTTGGTGGCAAAATATAGTTTGAAGTTAGATCAGTTGAATGCGAAGACGATATTTCTTCATGGTGATCTTGATGAAGAAATATATATGACTCAGCCATTGAGATTCCGAGCTGTAGGGAAGGAAAAATTAGTTTGTAAATTAAAGAAATCGTTATACGGTTTGAAGCAGTCTCCTCGACAGTGGTATAGGTGATTCGATGGTTTTATGATTGGTCATTCGTACACTCGGAACCAGTTTGATCCTTGCGCATATTTTCGTAAGTTGAAAGGAGGTGCGTACATCTATTTGTTACTTTGTGTCGATGATATGTTGATTGCCTCTATTTCCAGATTTGCTATAGATGAGTTGAAGGCACAGCTTTCAAAGGAGTTTGAGATGAAGGATTTGGGTAAAGCGAAGCGTATTTTAGGGATGAAGATTGACAGAGACAAGAAGAAGGGTAGAATTTGTTTGACACGGGTGGCTTATTTGAAGAATGTTCTACATCAATTTCATGTTAGCATTGATACAAAACCAGTTAGTGTACCATTAGGAGCCCATTTGAAACTTTCAACTGACCTTTCACCGAAGACAGTTGAAGAAAGAAGAGTTGATGTCGAAGACTCCATATGCGAGCGCGGTTAGGAGCTTGATGTACGTAATGATATGTACAAGGTCAGATTTGTCACAAGCGGTGAGCATGGTTTCGAGATATATGCACGATCCAAGAGTGGGTCATTGAGACGACGTGAGATAAATTTTGAGGTACATTCGAGGTACGCTCGATGTTAATTTAGTTTATGAGCGGGACACTACAGGTGGATGGTTGTGCATTGGCTATGTTGATTCGGATTATGCTAGGGATTTGGATAAACGTCAGTCTATTACGGGGTATATATTCACTTTGACTCGTACGTCGGTGTGTTGGAGATACACCTTACAGTCGACGGTGACTTTGTCTACGACGGAGACAGAGTATATGACGATTACGGAGGCTGTGAAGGAGGTTATTTGGCTTTGAGGACTTTTGGAGGAACTTAATATATCGCAGCAGTCCGTCACTATTTATTGTGATAGCATGAGTGCTATCTATTTGGCGAAGAATCAAGTTTTTTATGCGAGGACGAAGTACATTGATGTTCGTTATCACTTCGATCGGGATGTTCTTGAAGATGGAGATGTGAAGATTGTGAAAGTCCACACGAAG